ACTGCGGATTACAGTAGTTCTCATTTGAAGGAAAAAAGTATTCCTTTGAACTTTCATGCTTCAACATAGAATAACAAATAGATAAAGCATTTTGGTGTTTAAAAAATAAAATAAACCATTTTTTACCATTATGAATAATCAGCCTGTTCAACCTCAAAACTTAGCGCACAACATACCTCAAAACACTAATACATCTTTCGATAAACTTACAGCCGAGCAAAGATTTGAAATTTTAGATAAAGGTACTACTGACCCGCTTGATAAACCGCCAAAAATAATAAATCAAGAGCCTACACTCCCGATCGATATTTACTTAGGACTTACTTTTGAATAAGCCATTACTTCCTTCTATTAAAACGAACCATTTTTTTTTTAATTTAACAACCATTTAAAACTAAATAATAAGAGTTTACTTGCTCATTTTCATTTTCAAATTTTCAAAATCTTCAAAAAAAAAAAAAAAAAAAAAAAAAAGAAAGAGGGGACAAAGCTACAACAACTCAGGCTGTATGTTCATCGGTAATTTTAGTAAAAAACATCAGTCTGTCCTTTGTACTAAAAAACAAATGTTAATTCGTATGGAGAATGCTCTTCGAAGACGTATAGGTTTTAAAAGACTTTTTTTCATTCCTTCGAAAATTCGCAACATCTAAAATGCTATATTGAAAAGATTTTACCCGAATTATCAACATTATAATTATCATTTATTGCCATTATTTTATCTTATCATAGTCAATATATTTATCATTATTATTTTATCTTATCCTTATTATTTTATCTTATTATATCTTTATCACTATTATTTTATATATAATAGGCAAAAGGCATTTTTACTCCCAATAGATTGCATTTTTCCTTTTTTGGTTAAACAAAATATTTATTGCCATTATGTACGTATACGATTACCATTATATTATACCTACTACATATAGACAAAAGGAATGCGATATCTTTCGTCCGTTCATGGAAGATGATGACGACAAAACTTGGGTCAGAAGTCCTCCAGACACTTGTTGTCCACCATCGACCGTTTTTGGTGTCACCACATCTCCGTTGCCTAGTACTTTTGATCTTCTAACTCCTCCTTCTTCGCTGCTGAGCACTCCTTCCATTTACGTTATGCTTACTTTAAAGAAATTCGTAGAATATAATCCATTAAAAGATCTTATTTTCCACGCCTATGAATTGACGTTGATTAATTTTAATGGAAAATCCTTTGTAAATTATTGTTCATATGTTCCTCAATATATTGGACCTACTAAACAAAAGAAAAAGATCATCAGATTTAGCCGTAACTTGGAACAAGTTCATTATACTCCTACCCATTATATAATACTACCTCCTCCGCCCTCCACTCGGCGTAGGATGAGTAATTCGATCCATTTAAAAGCAGATGACAAACTTTACAGAGACCAAGGTATTAAGAACCATTCTGACAGTTATGATAAATATTGGCTTGGGCTAAAGAACAAGTCAAGTCTTTTGGAAAACTTAATTTGCCCTTCGATTGTAAAGGAGGTTCGAACTTATCAAGCAGTCCCACCATTAGTTAAATCCTGAGGTCAAACGTATGAATAATCAACCAATGATGAGAGTTCATAAATGGAATGAATATAGATGGTATTGTGGAGTGATATGCCAATATTGCTTCCAATGTCAAAAGATGTTGTAAATTGTACGATTCCATTTTATGGAGCATGGCTGTGTTCTAAAAATTTTTCTCTCCCACATGAAACGAAGAAAAGAAATAACAAGGTCCTTTTCTTTTGCGAAAAGGATTTAATGACCTTTCTAGAGTGTCCTTTTAAACATTATCTTTTTTATTATTATTTTAATATATTTTACATTCAAAGATTCTATAATTTATCATCATCATTACTAATACTGAATATCTACTCCTTCGCATTTTTGTAATTTTGTGCTTGCTTTTTTGTGAAATCCTTAATTACCTTTTGCCTCGGTCTCTTTTTACTCCACGCAAACCGCTTTCGTGAAAAATTCTATATCACATACCGGTATATAAGTTATATAGTTTTTTTTACCCAAATTATTTACATTCGTTAATTTATTTTTCAAAGTTCGCTTTCTCAGTATGATTCATAATTACTCCTCAACTTACCGACGTGATATCAAAAATCTGATCAAAATCCATCGAAAAACTTTTCATACGCGTTCACCACACATGTGTTATTATTGGAACCAATATATCCATTAGTTAAACAGATGGAAAAATACACTCCAAAAAGTCTTAGAGATTATTGAAGCTGGTCACTGCTGTATGGCGTTTCCTAAGGAAGATTATTTGCGGGTCACTACAGTCGGCCTACACCTAAATACTACCGAAAATAATTGATATTTATCCACTTTATTTTCTGGTTGGTATGATGAAGTAATGAAGCCATGTATACGGTGCAATAATGTTTCTCTGATGAAGAAACGCACCGGCACACGGAGCTAGGTTTCTTGGACGATTTGCAGCCTGTACTTTTCTTTTTTTTTCATTTGGATTATTTTTGGTTATTTTTAGTTCCGATTTTGTATATTTGTGATCTTTTTATTTGCACGATTCGTGTAAGCTGAAGGAGAATAAGCTTATACCGCCAAACAATATGACATTTAAAACATCAACCACACATTTATTAAGATTTTACCGATAACATTTATATCATTGACTAATTTAAATTATACAACAAACAACATTATGTTTTTTTTTTTCAATTCATCCACCATTCAACATTTGTAAATGATGAATCTACTATTATAAATATTTATAATATTTATATTGGTTATGTTATGTATTAGTATGACTTTTTAATTTCACGTTTATCCTAACGATTAACTGTTCACGAATTAGCAATTAGCATTTCAGATTTTGCCACCTTTTTTTG